TGACTGGGAGGGGGAGATAACCAGGTCAGGATACAGAAATACAGACATGATGGGGAGATGACCAGGTCAGGATACAGGATACAGACATGATGGGGAGAGATATCCAGGTCAGGATACAGACATGATGGGGGGAGATATCCAGGTCAGGATACAGAAATACAGACATGATGGGGAGAGAAAATCAGGTCAGGATACAGGATATAGACATGATTGTGGATATAACCAGGTCAGGATGCAGACATGATTGTGGAGATAACCAGGTCAGGATACAGGATATAGACATGATTGTGGATATAACCAGGTCAGGATGCAGACATGATTGTGGAGATAACCAGGTCAGGATACAGGATACAGACATGATTGGGGAGGAAATAACCAGGTCAGGATACAGGATACAGATATGACTGGGGGGTGGGGGGATAACCAGGTCAGGATACAGACATGATGGGGGAGATAACCAGGACAGGATACAGGATACAGACATGATGGGGGAGAGATAACCAGGACAGGATACAGACATGATGGGGGGAGATAACCAGGTCAGGATACAGACATGATGGGGAATGATAACCAGGTCAGGATATAGGATACAGACATGATGGGGAGATGATAACCAGGTCAGGATACAGGATACAGACATGATGGGGAGATGATAACCAGGTCAGGATACAGGATACAGACATGATGGGGAGATGATAACCAGGTCAGGATACAGGATACAGACATGATGGGGAGATGACCAGGTCAGGATACAGGATACAGACATGATGGGGAGAGATAACCAGGTCAGGATACAGAAATACAGACATGATGGGGAGAGATAACCAGGTCAGGATACAGAAATACAGACATGATGGGGAGAGATAACCAGGTCAGGATACAGAAATACAGACATGATGGGGAGAGATAACCAGGTCAGGTTAAAGAAATACAGACATGATGGGGAGAGATAACCAGGTCAGGATACAGAAATACAGACATGATGGGGAGAGATAACCAGGTCAGGTTAAAGAAATACAGACATGATGGGGAGAGATAACCAGGTCAGGATACAGAAATACAGACATGATGGGGAGAGATAACCAGGTCAGGATACAGAAATACAGACATGATGGGGAGAGATAACCAGGTCAGGTTAAAGAAATACAGACATGATGGGGAGAGATAACCAGGTCAGGTTAAAGAAATACAGACATGATGGGGAGAGATAACCAGGTCAGGATACAGAAATACAGACATGATGGGGAGAGATAACCAGGTCAGGTTAAAGAAATACAGACATGATGGGGAGAGATAACCAGGTCAGGTTAAAGAAATACAGACATGATGGGGAGAGATAACCAGGTCAGGTTAAAGAAATACAGACATGATGGGGAGAGATAACCAGGTCAGGATACAGAAATACAGACATGATGGGGAGAGATAACCAGGTCAGGATACAGAAATACAGACATGATGGGGAGAGATAACCAGGTCAGGATACAGAAATACAGACATGATGGGGAGAGATAACCAGGTCAGGATACAGAAATACAGACATCAGGGAAAAAGGGAACATCTGAAAATATTAGTAGCTCTCATCTCACCATACAAATTATAACAGCTTATATCTCACTTTACAAAATACCACAAAACATGTTATTTTGCTGGTATTTTTGTGTAAGGAGATTTGATAGGTCTCTGAAGGCTTCAAAAGGAAATCTGAACAATAGAGCTTAGATTTGGGGGAAGACAATTAATCTTTGTTCGGAATATGTTGATTATCTTTTAATAATGGAATATATTCCAATCATATGGATTTTAATTTATCAGAGGAAAAAATCCATATATCCCTGACAAAAATATATAATTCAATTCCATTTTTTTATGTATGGCGATAAGTGAGTGTGCTAAGATATATTTAATTCCAGCATCACATCAAAGCTGTGTACGTGATGATTTTCAATGGAAATCTGTAGGCTAGCCTCCAATACATTGCTGTCTCATCAGTCAAACCTCAACACAACGTGGATACCTTTTCAATTAGGTCGTCTAGTCAAAGTCTCCAGTAATCATTATTGGCTAAGGGTAACCAACAACAGTAAAAATCACACTCACTTTTCACCAACTCAACTGGACTAGGATTTCACAACAAAGAATTACCGGTATAAATAAAATCAATATTCTTTTCAAATCCTTAAAATATGAGATTTTCAAAAGACCATAATTATACATAGCCCTTCCAACAATCTTTATACAATATTCTATACTCACATTCTGTTTACATATACAGAAAATTAAAACAGCTGTGATTTCTTGAAAACATTTCATTTGTGCTATAATGGTTTACTAACAAACAAATTTCAGGACCAAAGGTCATTTTCTTCATGGGAAAATTTAAATTTATAGAAATTTCTGAAAAAAACTCAGTATTGCATAAATGCTGCCATTCAGAGTTTATATCTTTCAATTACCCACATAAAGATGAACTTATAAATCAATATATGAAGAAGTTATCAAATGAAAAGTTAAATTGCCACATGACCTGATAAGACTGTTTTTAACAACAACCCCCTCCCCTAGATAGGACAGCTGTAGTCATTGCTACCAGTAATGATATGAACTTGAATGAAGTTGTTTATCATGTTGCTGATATATTCGTTTTATGTCTCCATAACATTTAAATGATGCTCACAAATGATTCACGCTAATCATATGGAGAACATATTTTAACCTCCATATCAACACATGCATGCAGATCCAAGTTTAAATCAATATTTGTCATGACATCACAGATAGCTTGGCTACCTTTGTAACTAAATATAAAAAAGATGTATTCCTTATGATAAAGAAAATGTAAAACAAACTAAGAGACATTATTATTTAAATTTCTCACTAAAGGCACACAAGTAAACATGTGAGCTTTGAATCAGCTATCAACAAAAAGAGGCCTCATGGGTCTGTATCGCTCACCGTGTCATCAGTCACACACATGTCATCAGTCACATGTCATCAGTCACATACATGTCATCAGTCACATACATGTCATCAGTCACACACGTCATCAGTCACACACATGTCATCAGTCACACACATGTCATCAGTCATATACATGTCATCAGTCACATACATGTCATCAGTCACATACATGTCATCAGTCACACACATTTTATCAGTCACACATGTCATCAGTCATATACATGTAATCAGTCACATACATGCATCAGTCACATACATGCATCAGTTATATACAGGTCATCAGTCACACACATGTCATCAGTAACACACATGTCATCAGTAACACACATGTCATCAGTCACATACATGTCATCAGTAACACACATGTCATCAGTCACATACATGTCATCAGTCACATACATGTCATCAGTCACACACATGTCATCAGTCACATGCATGTAATTAGCCACACACATGTCATCAGTCACACACATGTCATCAGTCATATACATGTCATAGTCACATATATGTAATCAGTCAAACATGTCATCAGTCACACACATGTCATCAGTCACATACATGTCATCAGTCACATACATGTCATCAGTCACATACATGTCATCAGTCACACACATCATCAGTCACATACATGTCATCAGTCACACACATGTCATCAGTCACATGTCATCCGTCATATACATGCCATCAGTCACATACATGCATCAGTCACACACATATCATCAGTCACACACATGTCATCAGTCACACACATGTAATTAGCCACACACATGTCATCAGTCACACACATGTCATCAGTCACACGCATGTAATTGGTCACACACATGTCATCAGTCACACACGTCATCAGTCATATACATGTCATCAGTCAACATGTCATCAGTCACACACCTGTCATCAGTCACATACATGTCATCAGTCACATACATGTCATCAGTCACACACATCATCAGTCACATACATGTCATCAGTCACACACATGTCATCAGTCACATGTCATCAGTCATATACATGCCATCAGTCACATACATGCATTAGTTACATACATGTCATCAGTCACATACATGTCATCAGTCACACATGTCATCAGTCACATACATGTCATCAGTCACACACATGTAATTAGCCACACACATGTCATCAGTCACACACGTCATCAGTCATATAGATGTCATAGTCACATACATGTAATCAGTCACATACATGTCATCAGTCACACATGTCATCAGTCATATACATGCCATCAGTCACATACATGCATTAGTTACATACATGTCATCTGTCACATACATGTCATCAGTCACACATGTCATCAGTCACATATATGTCATCAGTCACACACATGTAATTAGCCACATACATGTCATCAGTCACACACATGTAATTAGCCACACACATGTCATCAGTCACACACGTCATCAGTCATATAGATGTCATAGTCACATACATGTAATCAGTCACACACACATCATCAGTCAAACATGTCATCAGTCACACACATGTCATCAGTCACACACATGTCATCAGTCACATACATGTCATCAGTCACATACATGTCATCAGTCACACACATGTCATCAGTCACATACATGTCATCAGTCACACACATGTCATCAGTCACACACATACCGTCAGTAACATACATTTGTCATCAGTCACATACATGTCAGCAGAATGTCTCAGGGTCTCTTTTCCACACTAAAAAAATCATCTTTACTTTCAGAACAGCACAAAAGTCCCTGTCTTTGAGTTTATAACAGACAACGTAAGGGATCCATTTCTGACAGTGTATTTACCTAAAGTACACTGCTCATTACAATACTTAGTATCTAGCCAGATAAAAACAATGTGATGGTTATGATAGCTAGGACCCAAGCATGCTAAAAGCGCACTGCCATGCAATTCTACAAGCAACAGATTGTCTTGAAAAGTGAACATTTTAAACCAGAATATTATGAAAACATTTTAGTGTGAACAATAACCAGAAATGTTTATAGGGTTTAATCATCAAAATATTTTACTAAGCACCAAACACAGATACTTACACTGGCATTTTCAAAAAGGCCTGTTACCATTACAATGCAATGAACACCCTCTTGCCAAACCATATGCCAAAATGCTGGAACTGTTTTCTGTTTTGGACCTGGTTTTTTTTAAAAGAAAACCATAATCATGATTTTATGTATATATCAATATTTTTTATTTCATTTTCTAAAGGATGAGTATTTATTAAAATTTTTATTTCACTACTCTGCAATAAGGAGTTAGACAGCCATAACTTAACATATGTACAGGTTGTAAATCTAACCTTTGTCCTACCTTGTGAAATTGTCCTCTGATCTTAAAGTTGTGAATTTGACCGCTGAAATACATTGATAATTTAATCCCTGACCTATCTCATAAATCTAATCTTGTATATTTAACCTTAAAAAATTGACTTACTTTGTGAATTCAACTCCTAACCTGCCCTGTAAATTGAACCCCTGACCTACTTTGCGAAGTTCACCTCTGACCAACTTTGTGAGTTTTGACGTACCTTGTGAAGCAATGTATTCTTTTTCCTGACTGTAACCCTGGAATATACAAAGCAAACACATTGAATTAACATTACAATTTAATGTACCCCTTCCAATGCGGAGCAGGACCACATCCTACAGTTTGTTAAGACTTATAAAGAGATTGTTAAATCACAAGACACATAACACTAGTGTGATGAAGTTCAGATCTTCCCTTACACAAAATCAATTCTCATTTACATGTGGAGACTTTAGATCAAATTTGGCGAAAATCCTGCAATTCGAATAGAAGACTATTTGATACATTGTATCTCCCCTACTGGACCATACCTGTCTGGCCCCATGGGATTCAGATCAAAGAAATTAAAAACAGAGGATCTATTTGCAACAAAATCAAAACTAATACTGCAATATCCATATTGAAGTCCGAATGATTTCAGAAAGTTAACCTCTATTTCTCCTATTGGTCTCACCGTCTGCTGCCTCAGTGATGAAAACGGGGTTGGGGGTTGGAGAAGGGTTTATATTAAATGGTGGTCATTCCATGAATGCTTTCAGCCCTATTGAGCCAAAATTCCTTTATTAAATCATAAAAGTTTCTTATTAAATGCTTGTGTACCATAAATAGACCTTGCTTCTCTGATCTGATGGAAAAAACTTAATTTTACAAATGTTGGATTATTCTGTTTCCTTCTGCTTCTAACATATTAAAGACTCATGTTCCCCATTAACATATTAAAGGCTCATGTTCCCCATTAACATATTACAGGCTCATGTTCTGCAAAAGCCTATTAAAGGCTCATGTTCCTCATCAATATTTTAAAAAGCTCATGTTCCCCATTAACATATTAAAGGCTCATGTTCCCCATTAACATATTAAAGGCTCATGTTCCCCATTAACATATTACAGGCTCATGTTCCCCATTAACATATTACAGGCTCATGTTCCCCATTAACATATTAAAGGCTCATGTTCCCCATTAACATATTACAGGCTCATGTTCCCCATTAACATATTACAGGCTCATGTTCCCCATTAACATATTACAGGCTCATGTTCCCCATTAACATATTACAGGCTCATGTTCCCCATTAACATATTAAAGGCTCATGTTCCCCATTAACATACTACAGGCTCATGTTCCCCATTAACATATTACAGGCTCCCCATTAACATATTAAAGGCTCATGTTCCCCATTAACATATAACAGGCTCATGTTCCTCATTAACATATTACAGGCTCATGTTCCCCATTAACATATTACAGACTCATTCTCCCCATTAACATATTAAATGCTCATGTTCCCCACTAACATATTACAGGCTCATGTTCCTCATTAACATATTACAGGCTCATGTTCCCCATTAACATATTACAGGCTCATGTTCCCCATTAACATATTACAGGTTCATGTTCCCCATTAACATATTAAAGGCTCATGTTCCCCATTAACATATTACAGGCTCATGTTCCCTATTAACATATTACAGGCTCATGTTCCCTATTAACATATTACAGGCTCATGTTCCCCATTAACATATTAAAGGCTCATGTTCCCCATTAACATATTACAGGCTCATGTTCCTCATTAACATATTACAGGCTCATGTTCCCCATTAACATATTACAGGCTCATGTTCCCCATTAACATATTAAAGGCTCATGTTCCCCATTAACATATTACAGGCTCATGTTCCTCATTAACATATTACAGGCTCATGTTCCCCATTAAAATATTAAAGGCTCATGTTCCCCATTAACATATTACAGGCTCATGTTCCCCATTAACATATTAAAGAATTATTTAGAACTGTCAATAATAAGAGTCTCAAAGTTTAAACAATCAATTATTTTTTAAGTTTTCAATCACTTTATTCATAATTTTGTTGAAAAATGTATCTGAAGCAAGCTATTGACTAATTGGCTGAATACTTCATATTTTGTTTTTCTCAATCCTCTAAACAAAAGACCTAAGAGGGTTATATGAAATTTATCCCTGTTGACCCTACTGATAAGACTTCATTCCAAAATGCTAAAATGTCAAATACTTTAAACATACAGTGAATGTTTTTTCTAAATGAAGTTGCTAAGCAATACAAAATTGAAGGAAAATTTCGACAAATGTCAGATGAAAGATAGAAACTGTGCCACGTATTAAGTCACATGCCTTTTAAGCTGTTCGGCTAAATGTTAAAACCGACCTAGAGGAATTAAAGTGTTAAAGTGATTTTAGTGCATTTGTCAGACCAGGGTGATACAGTCGCTGTTTGGGACATTGTCCATGCTCTTTACTGATGAATATACTACCCTGGAGATCAATACACTTGTGTTTCCAAACTCTACATATTGACTTTTTTATTGTTTTACATGAAGAAATAAATAAATGAGACAAAATGGAAATCACACAACATTGTGGCAAAACCAAACCTCAAGTCACCAACCTATCACACACTGGTCCTTCTTACCAACCTATCACACACTGGTCCTTCTTGCCAAACTATCTCTCACTGGTCCTTCTCACAAACATATCTCTCACTGGTCCCTCTTACCAACCTATCTCTCACTGCTCCTTCTTACCAACCTATCACACACTGGTCCTTTTCACTAACCTATCACACACTGGTCCTTCTTACCAACCTATTACACACTGGTCCTTCTTGCCAAACTATCTCTCACTGGTCCTTCTCACAAACATATCTCTCACTGGTCCCTCTTACCAACCTATCTCTCACTGGTCCTTCTTACCAACCTATCACACACTGGTCCTTTTCACTAACCTATCACACACTGGTCCTTCTTACCAACCTATTACACACTGGTCCTTCTTGCCAAACTATCTCTCACTGGTCCTTCTCACAAACATATCTCTCACTGGTCCTTCTTACCAACCTATCACACACTGGTCCTTTTCACTAACCTATCACACACTGGTCCTTCTTACCAACCTATTACACACTGGTCCTTCTTGCCAAACTATCTCTCACTGGTCCTTCTCACAAACATATCTCTCACTGGTCCTTCTCACCAACCTATCTCTCACTGGTCCTTCTCACCAACCTATCACACACTGGTCCTTCTTGTACAACCTACATCTTGTAGCATGATAGGTTTGTAAGGTCTACAACCTACATCTTGTAGCATCATAGGTTTGTAAGGTCAACCTATCACACACTGGTCCTTCTCACCAACCTATCTCTCACTGGTCCTTCTCACCAACCTATCTCTCACTGGTCCTTCTCACCAACCTATCACACACTGGTCCTTCTCACCAACCTATCTCTCACTGGTCCTTCTCACCAACCTATCTCTCACTGGTCCTTCTTACCAACCTATCTCTCACTCATCCTTCTCACCGACCTATATCACACTAGTCCTTCATAGGTTTGTTAGGTCTACTACCTACACCTTGTAGCATCATAGGTTTATAACGTCTACAACCTACATCTTGTAGCATCATAGGTTTGTAAGGCCTACATCTTGTAGCATGAAAGGTTTGTAAGGTCTACAACCTACATCTTGTAGCATCATAGGTTTGTAAGGTCTACAACCTACATCTTGTAGCATGAAAGGTTTGTAAGGTCTATAACCTACATCTTGTAGCATGAAAGGTTTGTAAGGTCTACAACCTACATCTTGTAGCATCATAGGTTTGTAAGGTCTACAACCTACATCTTGTAGCATCATAGGTTTGTAAGGTCTACAACCTACATCTTGTAGCATCATAGGTTTGTAAGGTCTACAACCTACATCTTGTAGCATGAAAGGTTTGTAAGGTCTACAACCTACATCTTGTAGCATGAAAGGTTTGTAAGGTCTACAACCTACATCTTGTAGCATGAAAGGTTTGTAAGGTCTACAACCTACATCTTGTAGCATCATAGGTTTGTAAGGTCTACAACCTACATCTTGTAGCATGAAAGGTTTGTAAGGTCTACAACCTACATCTTGTAGCCTTAATAGGATTGTCAGGTCTACAACCTACATCTTGTAGCCTTAATAGGATGGTCAGGTCTACAACCCACATCTCGTAGTGTCACAGGTTTGTTTGGGACCAATAACCCACATCTTGTAGAGTTACAGGAAAAACATTTCCATCTGTACCTGGCAGCTGGTGATCATGGCTATTTGATCCCGAGTATTTGAAGGTTAGAGAAAATGATGTTAGTAGGTTTGCGATGTTTCTTCACAGCCTGATCATATGTGTTATACTCTCTATAGATCTGAACTTAATCAAATCAATTGGTCACTAATCTAATTGTGATGCTGGAAAGCCTGAACAAAGGAGGTGTGGCTATTTCCCTTGTGACCCTGACCGCTCAGAGAGAATCAACCAATTAGATGTTAGCACCTGTAACAGCAGTACTGACACTGTTCCAGTAAACTTCACACCACTTATTTATCTAGCACTGATTTTCTTTATGAATGTTTGGTTTGGTGTTTTAGTCTAGGTCTTTTCCACTCAAACACAAATTATCAACCTTCAAGAAGTGTAAACACTTTCATAGAAAATTTAATCAATTATCATATATAACTACAGTAATAAATAACTTTTGAATATTGCTATGTCACCATTACAATACTGTGTCACCATTACAATACTGTGTCACCATTAGTCACCATTACAATACTGTGTCACCATTACAATACTGTGTCACCATTAGTCACCATTACAATACTGTGTCACCATTAGTCACCATTACAATACTGTGTCACCATTACAATACTGTGTCACCATTAGTCACCATTACAATACTGTGTCACCATTACAATACTGTGTCACCATTAGTCACCATTACAATACTGTGTCACCATTAGTCACCATTACAATACTGTGTCACCATTACAATACTGTGTCACCATTAGTCACCATTATAATACTATGTCACCATCGCAATACTGTGTCACCATTACAATACTGTGTCACCATTAGTCACCATTACAATACTGTGTCACCATTACAATACTGTGTCACCATTAGTCACCATTACAATACTATGTCACCATCACAATACAGTGTCACCATTACAATACTGTGTCACCATTAGTCACCATTACAATACTGTGTCACCATTACAATACTGTGTCACCATTAGTCACCATTACAATACTATGTCACCATCACAATACTGTGTCACCATTACAATACTGTGTCACCATCACAATACTGTGTCACCATTACAATACTGTGTCACCATTACAATACTGTGTCACCATTACAATACTGTGTCACCATTACAATACTGTGTCACCATTACAATACTGTGTCACCATTACAATACTGTGTGTCACCATTACAATACTGTGTCATCATTACAATACTGTGTCACCATTACAATACTGTGTCACCATTACAATACTGTGTGTCACCATTACAATACTGTGTCATCATTACAATACTACTAAAGCCTGTGACTGAAATAAGTGTAGGTTCTTCAGAAATAAATGTAAAGTGAAAAAATAAACACACACAGAACAGACAGACAACACCTCAGAAAATGACTTTGCTAGAGGGAGTGGGTGTTTCAGGTTGTAAGACCTAGACTGAATGTAGGGCTAATCCAAAACTGTCTGCAATTGTCATAGTGTTTCTAAATATATACTTAAACAACAAACCAACGGTTCTATCTGTAAAAGGTACTGTCAGACTGAAAAATAATACTGCCTGACAATCGATAATCATTACGAATAATAAATGTACTTGGCTATCAAATTATATACATATATGATACAGTACAAGGCTACAGGTGTCAAACTGTAAAATATTATCACCACAAAATCATTTATCTAGTGACACAGAAACCATTATGGGACGGTGACAAGATTCCAATAAAAAGCAGCCATTTTATACTGAAGGAGGTCAGCTGGTACATGTACGTGTCACATAACTGGCCTGATAGCAATGTGGTAAATGATTACTATGGCTTTGTATTGTTGACAAAGTGAAGAGTATACCCACTGACCATTTCATAAAGAAATAGGAGTATATTTCAAGCTTTACAGGTTCCCTCAAAACTTCATCAACATCAGTAATGGATGAATGTGTGGACTGTTAAAATGTCAAATGACTGCTGAATGGTGATATAATTTGTGGTATAGAAACTGACATTTCGGATTGACAATAAATATATGATATCTATTGACAGAAACACCATTGTAGACATGTTGATTTCAAGATCTTGTTTAAAAACCTAAAACCAGCTTCCTTTATTGTGTTAACGCAGAGCCATCACTACCTTGTCAGAAATCCCAAAAGGAAGTTTAAATACATATTGTAGCAGAACTCTGATACAATGAACTGTATGGAAAATGTTTCATGAGGAAAATAAAACATAATATCATCAATCAAATAAAATTTCACCAAAACCTTAAAATATCTAAACAAAAGGACATAAAAATGGTAGCTATATACACCAACAACTATATAAAAGACTTCACCATATATAGATAGGTAATACTTACATCTATATAACTGGCTGTACTAGATAGGTAATACTTACATCTATATAACTGGCTGTACTAGATAGGTAATACTTACATCTATATAACTGTCTGTAATAGATAGGTAATACTTACATCTATATAACTGGCTGTACTAGATAGGTAATACTTACATCTATATAACTGGCTGTACTAGATAGGTAATACTTACATCTATGTAACTGGCTGTACTAGATAGGTAATACTTACATCTATATAACTGGCTGTACTAGATAGGTAATACTTACATCTATATAACTGTCTGTAATAGATAGGTAATACTTACATCTATATAACTGGCTGTACTAGATAGGTAATACTTACATCTATATAACAGTCTGTAATAGATAGGTAATACTTACATCTATATAACTGTCTGTACTAGATAGGTAATACTTACATCTATATAACTGGCTGTACTAGATAGGTAATACTTACATCTATATAACTGGCTGTACTAGATAGGTAATACTTACATCTATATAACTGGCTGTACTAGATAGGTAATACTTACATCTATATAACTGGCTGTACTAGATAGGTAATACTTACATCTATATAACTGGCTGTACTAGATAGGTAATACTTACATCTATGTAACTGGCATTGACATAATCATTCTCTCCATGTGGAGCATCTTGCAGTATAACACGGGCATGATCATCTGGAAATCAGCAAAACAACAGTTTGATAATAAAAGACAAAAGACAACAGACATGGCCTGACCATCAATATAATACAATAATATAATAACAGAAATTATCATAAAGTACATTACACAGGATGCAGAAATTGATTTGAAGATCAATAATCAAGGAAACTTTTGCTGACATTTTAACAGGTCCCCACATATTTCAGGTTCTTCAACCTCAGATAGGACATGTATAACAGGATCCACTTTCCCCAACAAAGATCAATCAAAATTCAGTTTCCCTGACACAGATATCTCTGGATCTAGTTCCCTGACACAGATATATCTGGATCTAGTTCCCTGACACAGATATCTCTGGATCTAGTACCCTGACACAGATATCTCTGGATCACAGATATCTCTGGCTCTAGTTCCCTGACACAGATATCTCTGGATCTAGTTCCCTGACACAGATATATCTGGATCCAGTTCACTGACACAGATATCTCTGGATCTAGTACCCTGACACAGATATATCTGGATCTAGTTCCCTGACACAGATATCTCTGGATCTAGTTCCCTGACACAGATATCTCTGGATCTAGTTCCCTGACACAGATATCTGACACAGATATCTCTGGATCTAGTTCCCTGACACAGATATCTCTGGATCTAGTACCCTGACACAGATATATCTGAATCTAGTTCCCTGACACAGATATATCTGGATCCAGTTCCCTGACACAGATATCTCTGGATCTAGTTCCCTGACACAGATATATCTGGATCCAGTTCCCTGACACAGATATATCTGGATCCAGTTCCCTGACACAGATATCTCTGGATCTAGTTCCCTGACACAGATATCTCTGGATCTAGTTCCCTGACACAGATATCTCTGGATCTAGTTCCCTGACACAGATATCTCTGGATCTAGTTCCCTGACACAGATATCTCTGGATCTAGTTCCCTGACACAGATATCTCTGGATCTAGTTCCCTGACACAGATATCTCTGGATCTAGTTCCCTGACACAACACAGATATCTCTGGATCTAGTTCCCTGACACAGATATCTCTGGATCTAGTACCCTGACACAGATATATCTGGATCTAGTTCCCTGACACAGATATCTCTGGATCTAGTTCCCTGACACAGATATATCTGGATCCCGTTCCCCGACTCAGATATCTCTGGATCTAGTTCCCTGATACAGATATATCTGGATCTAGTTCCCTGACACAATATATGTGGATCTAGTTCCCTGACACAGATATCTCTGGATCTAGTTCCCTGACACAGATATATCTGGATCTAGTTCCCTGACACAGATATCTCTTGATCTAGTTCCCTGACACTGATATCTCTGGATCTAGTTCCCTGACACAGATATCTCTTGATCTAGTTCCCTGACACAGATATATCTGGATCTAGTTCCCTGACACAGATATATCTGGATCTAGTTCCCTGACACAGATATCTCTGGATCTAGTTCCCTGACACAGATATATCTGGATCCAGTTCCCCGACTCAGATATCTCTGGATCTAGTTCCCTGACACAGATATATCTGGATCTAGTTCCCTGACACTGATATATCTGGATCTAGTTCCCTGACACAGATATATCTGGATCTAGTTCCTTGATATGTTAGGTTCTAGTTACATAATGTTGATGTCCAGAGGAATATATTGGTTAGTGACCAACATGGCTGCTTTATTTGTTACTATGATGATAAGTGAGGTAAGACAGTATTTGTTTCACCAGAACAAAGCTAGACTAAACAGACACCCTAGAGGAACATTAATGTCTAACAATGTTTATATCAGAAAGGGAGTATTCCTATAGGTATACACTCCCTACATCAATATGTTACCCTGTGTCTTTTGATATAAATTGAAAGCAATTTGAGTTGAAAAGAATACTCCAATATCATATTAAATGACAACAAGAATTAATTGCCATCCTGAGGATAACTTATCTCCCCATCCTATGCTCAAACAGATGAAAAGAGTTTATAAATCAATGGTTTTTTGCTTCATGTATGACGTAAAATTTGCCTAGTCCCTTCCCCAGGACATGCCCCATCTCCTTACTATAGATTATAAAGGCTATGGGGCATTACACAAATGCTTATGTATAGTGAATTGTTTACCATGGCAACCAAAATAATAAAAAAAAAATTCGAAAAAAACTGAACTTCATATGGTCAATAATGTGTCTATATCACTTCACTGAAATTGATAAAGTTGTTGTGAAGCATGGACAAGAACCCTCTAATTTCATTACATCATCCAAGCTGGACAAGTTAACATTTAAGACAGTCTTAGATTTCAGATAGTTTACCAACTATTACACAAAAATCTGTATACCTGGTTACCACGGCATCAAAAATATCTGCTGAAGAAAAAAAGAACTGCCTGCACACTTACACATACCTTGTGCCTTTAAGTTACTGAGGTGGACAAATGATTGGACATAAGACTGCCTTAAATACCAGACACAGTTGATTTAAGCAATCAACCATTATCAAATCACACACACAAACTGATATTTATAAAACATTTTGGATGGACACTCCTTGTAGTTTTGACAAACGTATTGTGTGGAAAAGAAAACAAGAGGCCCATGGGCTTTAACGGTCATCTGACATAAAATACAAGATTTCAAATTTTGAACTTGAAAAGAAGTCGAAAATGTGTTTTCAAGATGGCAGTCATGTTGGATTTCGGACCAACCCGAAATTAACAAACTTTGGTCAGGATCATTTCACTATCATTTAGGTAAGTTTCAGCTCAATGAGACATGTACAACTTGAGAAAAAGTTGAAAATGTTTATGACGGACTTAGTATGACGTACGCTGGATGACGCCGGACAAAAGGCGATCGCAATAGGTCATCAGACCCTTCGGTCAGGTGACCTAAAAAAGGAGAGAACTATCTAAATTTTATAGTACAGAACAGATTGTATACATAGGGGTAGTAAATATTCACAGTGATCTACTGCTGCTAAACAAGGCCCTACAGTCCCTCATTAAACTGTCAAACCATGTCTACCTGGAAATATTCTATAAATAAATATACTCAAATGATTATCAAATTTCTGTCAAAATATGTTAAGTTACAGAAAATTACATCAATGGAGATCAATTTATATATTAAAAATAAATGTACTCAAGAATCGGCCCGACATTTTATATGTAGACGAGCCGTTAAGATTGGAATAATAATACTCAAGAAATCATAATTTTCACCCAAAAACATTTTTTTAGTAACTGATTTAACCAAAAAATAAACAAACATCCCATGTGAAAATTTTCAAATTGTATCAGAATGTGATTGTAATCCAATTTAAAACCAAAGTATCAGAAAATGGCTGTGTGCAGCAGCTGTGAAGACAAGGTTAGTAAGTGTTGAAGTTTTATGGATCGAGGAAGCTGTGTGATAACGTTACAGTAAAAAAAATGGCAAGCACATCTGATAAACCATACAAACTTAGAATGAAACTAAAATATCTTTGTCAATATTCGGGAGAACTTGCTGTCTATATATACTACATGTAACTGCTCCAGACATGAACAGCTACCATCAACCCCCCATACCATTCCCTTCCTGAGTACGTAATTAATCTTTAATTGTGTCTTCGTTGCTTTTAGATGAATTGATTCCAGGCCAGGTTCACCAATATAGCCGCACCTGAACCATACACAACAAGAACCAAGTGTGGGCATGCCGATACAGCTGTCAGCCCAAGTTTACATCACAAAGTGTCAACCCATTTGTATTATATACAAATACAACTCTACTGTCAACTTATATCAATGATACAGGATCGGTACTGAGGTAGAACATTCTATTTCCATAGTCAGTAAATAGTAGATTTCTATTTTTAAGCATTAGTGACCTTGACCTTTATGTTGGACAGCTGACACATTACCTTACTGATGTAAAAGTTCAGATATGTCATTATTATAGCTCTGTATATAGTAACTGAAATCACAACAGGAAGGGGAAAACTGATTTTTAACAACAGCGACTTTGATGCTGAAGAGTTCTTTGAAGCTGAACACATCCGAGATATTTTGGTATCAAACCCCAGTTGAAGTGTCATTAAAGTCAGATAAGATATTTTTATGAAGTATTAATGAACTAGAGAACATAAGGACACTGACATTAAATATTCTGTCCACATTAATATCAATGCACTTTACCGAGGGGATTTTACAGAAGTGTTTTCTGTAACATCCTGTTTGCTGTTTAACACTGTCAGTATCAAAATGTAAACTTACAGGGGACAACATCTTGGTTGACGTTCTTCAGAACATTTGCTGGCGTCATGGACACGGAATATGGATAGTCATCCTGATTACGAACAATGGCCTGAAACAACAAGAATAGCTCAGTGAAAAGGATTGAAATTGATAACTAGGAATAATTTAACATGTAGCTTATTGAAATGCAATTCGCAAATAAACAACAACATAACAAAACAACAAATGTTTGTTTTTGCTTTTTTTTTGATAGCCAAGAGTGTGCAAGAATGAAATGAAAATTTCTGAAGGAGATGTTTCCTTTACTGAATGGTAAAATGATGTCAGCTTTGAGTGTGCGTGATACATAGACTATGCTGACAATCAGATGAGAGCACGGAACTGTCTACAAAGCTAGTTCAATTCATCAAACTAATTGATCTGTGTGCATTGTTTCACCTACAGCAATAGCATGCTCTCAGATTCTTTTATGAACATTTCAAAAATAAATTTTTCAAAGAAAACGCTTACACATGAAATTTGACCATAATCATGTAAAAATGTTCACCTATTTCCCGATTACATCAAACTCCACACAAGTTATAAGTTTTCATATGAAATCTTGTTTACAATAAACTGTCTAATTATCTAATTAATGGTATAAAGTTACCCAAGGGATCAAGGAATTTTCCAAAACAGTAAGTTCATTGAAGTAACATTAAAATCTTTAAGCAATACAGAGAAAGTTAGAATGTGATAAAATCAATTAATGATAAAGTGAAAACAAGAGGCCTAATGGGCTTGCATCACTGACCTTTTCACAATACAAATTAATGCAAATCAATAACATTCAAAGTGGGTTGAAATGCTCTAAACCAATTTCAACAAGAGGTCCATGGTCCTTAACAGCCCTCTGACTGTAAAGACAGATATATAATACACTGAAACCAGTAGTAGTGACGAGACAGATATATAATACACTGAAACCAGTAGTAGTGACGAGACAGATATATAATACACTGGAACCAGTAGTAGTGATGAGACAGATATATAATACACTGGAACCAGTAGTAGTGACGAGACAGATATATAATACACTGGAACCAGTAGTAGTGATGAGACAGATATATAATACACTGGAACCAGTAGTAGTGACGAGACAGATATATAATACACTGAAACCAGTAGTAGTGACGAGACAGATATATAATACACTGGAACCAGTAGTAGTGACGAGACAGATATATAATACACTGGAACCAGTAGTAGTGACGAGACAGATATATAATACACTGGAACCAGTAGTAGTGATGAGACAGATATATAATACACTGGAACCAGTAGTAGTGACGAGACAGATATATAATACACTGGAACCAGTAGTAGTGACGAGACAGATATATAATACACTGGAACCAGTAGTAGTGACGAGACAGATATATAATACACTACACTATATAATACACTGGAACCAGTAGTAGTAGTGACGAGACAGATATATAATACACTGGAACCAGTAGTAGTGACGAGAGATATATAATACAGATATATATATAATACACTGGAACCAGTAGTAGTGACGAGACAGATATATAATACACTGGAACCAGTAGTAGTGACGAGACAGATATATAATACACTGGAACCAGTAGTAGTGACGAGACAGATATATAATACACTGGAACCACTAGTAGTGACGAGACAGATATATAATACACTGGAACCACTAGTAGTGACGAGACAGATATATAATACACTGGAACCAGTAGTAGTGACGAGACAGATATATAATACACTGGAACCAGTAGTAGTGACGAGACAGATATATAATACACTGGAACCAGTAGTAGTGACGAGACAGATATATAATACACTGGAACCAGTAGTAGTGACGAGAACCAAACAAGGTAGTCCATATCTTCAGACTTAATGAGATAAATCTCAATTAAATGACTTATTTTAAGCATTCATAGGAATATTTTTCATTTTAATGCTGATATAAAAGAAAAAAGGTTTTGAAACCTGAATGAATGCACATAGCACGTTCATGATACACTTACAGAATGAGACTGAACAATAGTCCTATCAATGCTCACAACTTATTTCTTAGATAGGTTTCAAGAACAAAAACAACACAAAAATTTGTAAATGTGATAACTGAATGACAGATTATTTCCTATAAAACATCACCGTGACTGACGCCTGACACGATGCGACATCAATGACAGCTAATTCTGGCCATTTTCAGTCATTCAAGATTAAAAAATGTGTGGGCCTGTTACATTTCACACAGAAATGTGTAAAAGTATGAAATAACATGTTTTTCCCTGATAAATCTGTTATTTATTCATTGTCTATGTACCATGTAAGTTATTTTAATATTTCTTGTCCAGTTTTTAGTTTACGTCATTGAATGCCAGTGATCCACACACCAGGTGAATGGAAACAGATATTCCATTTACTAACAACAGCATCAATGACACTGACGAATGCTCCCCAAATGATTTTATTGGATATGTAACTAAGCGCAATACTTGTATAATTAAGGGGTTTCAGGCCCTGAATTTGGTACAATGTACATCCTCTTAGTATGATCAATGTATCCACAAAGTATCATCATTCTAGTTTAAATGAAAGTTATGCTATCAACATGAAATTTTAACAAAGGGCAATAACTCTGTAATTAAGGAGTTGCAGGCCCTGAAATGGATGTACTTCACATCCTCCTAGTATGATGAATGTATAAATCATGTTTCATCATCCTAGATCAAATGCCAGCCAAGTTAAGCTCCAGACACAAAAATTTAACAAATCGGTAAAGATCTACAAACTCTGTAATAAGGGTTTGAGGCCCGACCATTGGTGTACTGCACATTGTCTTTGTACGTTCAATGAATCCACCAAGTTTCATTATCTTTCCTTAAATGAAAGCAAAGTTATGGCATGGACAAAAATTTTAACAAAGAACGATAACCCTGTAATTGACAAGTTATGGGCCCTGAATCAGATAAACTGCGCATCTTCCTAGTATGGCCAATGTATACACCATGTTTCATTATTCTAGTTTAAAAGTAAGCAATTTAAAGTTGTTTACTGGAAATTTTAACAAGGGCAATAACTCTGTGATTAAAGAGTTGCATGCCATGAATTTAATACACTACATGTTGTCTTAGTATGATCAATGTATATACCAAGTTTCATATTATGGATGTGAAATTGGTAAAGATCCACAATCAAGTAGAAGTTAAAATAAGATAATCATCTACTTTGTCAATTTCTATGAAGACTCTGACATCAATACAATAAAATAAACAAACAAAACAAACAGCGATCAGTTATTATGTAACTCCAAAGCAATACCATACAAACATTTCTACCCGTCAATGCATCTGTCTGTATTATAATACAATAACTTATTACTCATTTACATCTTCAGATTTTTTATAATAGATCAGTCATACGCTCTTTGGAGTTCTTTCAGATCCACATACTATTAATTTCACCTCTTGAGTAAATAGTATTACAATAAGAATGTAACCCAGATTTGATAGTACTTAGATTGGTGGTCGTAATTTTGAGGTGGTCGTTAGGTGAGGTTTCACTGTACTTAGATTGGTGGTCGTAATTTTGAGGTGGTCGTTAGGTGAGGTTTCACCGGACTTAAATTGGTGGTCGTAATTTTGAGGTGGTCGTTAGGTGAGGTTTCACTGCACTTAGATTGGTGGTCGTAATTTTGAGGTGGTCGTTAGGTGAGGTTTCACTGCACTTAGATTGGTGGTCGTAATTTTGAGGTGGTCGTTAGGTGAGGTTTCAAGGTGAGGTTTCACTGCACTTAGATTGGTGGTCGTAATTGGTGGTCGTAATTTTGAGGTGGTCGTTAGGTGAGGTTTCACTGCACTTAGATTGGTGGTCGTAATTTTGAGGTGGTCGTTAGGTGAGGTTTCACTGCACTTAGATTGGTGGTCGTAATTTTGAGGTGGTCGTTAGGTGAGGTTTCACTGAACTTAGATTAGTGGTCGTAATTTTGAGGTGGTTGTTAGGTGAGATTTCACTGTACTGAGATTGGTGGTCGTAATTTTGAGGTGGTCGTTAGGTGAGGTTTCACTGCACTTAGATTGGTGGTCGTAATTTTGAGGTGGTCGTTAGGTGAGGTTTCACTGAACTTAGATTAGTGGTTGTAATTTTGAGGTGGTTGTTAGGTGAGATTTCACTGTACTGAGATTGGTGGTCGTAATTTTGAGGTGGTCGTTAGGTGAGGTTTCACTGTACTTAGATTGGTGGTCGTAATTTTGAGGTGGTCGTTAGGTGAGGTTTCACCGGACTTAAATTGGTGGTTAGTAGTTTTGACAAATGCTTGTTTGAATAGCAAGATGAGCCAACAAGAAAACATTGTTACTATGGATTTTTTTTGTGAAGTTTAGGAATCCAATATAAATGAAGGATGTCTGTATCCTTATCATTAATAGGCAATCTAAACAATTGTAATACCAAAGCATGATTAGCCAGTATTTCACCTTAGAAAGATTGCATAATGTATGGTGAGGTTTCTTTTGTTAGCCAGGAAGCCTTGTTCTTTTTGTATACAGGAAATGTAATAATGTCTGCAGTGAAGGATCATGTTATTGACTGCCTTATCTGCAACACAATAACATACCTGTCATGTAAACCTTGAAGTGTGAATTATCATCAGGGTCTTGGAAAGGTGATCTGTGTTTTGTTTTCATTTTAGATTTCAAGCTGCATGTTGGACTGAATGGACTTAACCCACTCAGAAAGTTTATCCAGTGCAACATGGTTTTGCCTAAATCACATGTAAATGAGCACAAGAACTATGGATTCATGTCATAAGGGCCATGAGTCACACCTGGACACATGACGATCGTCACTGCCTTATTGACCAACTTTTTACATCTCATGAAATTGGCTAGTGCAATCAAACTATTAAAATTGGTTTTAAATCCTTTGTCACTTATTGGTTAGGTCCTTGTGTGAGTGAACGCCATGCCACAAAGTTTTCCAATAAACTGCTGAAACTTCCTGAAAGTAAGTCTTTTGTAAGCATACCAGGATCAATTACTCAGATTGTTTTCCAAAAGATACGATGAGGAAATAAGCAAACATGGACGGGAA